ATCCTTCACAAACTTTCGGTAGTAACCTGTGAGCCCTAGGAATCCTCGGAGTTGTGTGAGACTCGTCAGCTTAGGCCAGTCGACCATAGCCTCTATCTTCCGTGGATCAACCTTCACGCCATCATAAGATATAAAGTAGCCTAGGTACTCAACCATCTCCTGCCCGAATGAACACTTGGACGGCTTGATGTGAAACGAGTTAACCTCCAAGACCTCGACACCACTCTCAAATGCTCAATATGTTTAGTCCACAACATCGAATATACCAAGATATCATCAAAGAAGACTGGAACAAACTTACGTAGATACTCATTGAAGATGGAATTCATAGCGAATTGGAAAGTTGATGGAGCGTTGCACAGCCCGAATGGCATCACCAAATACTCATAATGCCCCTGATGCGTACGAAAAGCTGTCTTCAGAATGTCGACCTTGTGGAGTCAGATCTGATGATAACCAACTCTCAGGTCGAGCTTCGAGAAATAGCGCGATCCTGCCAACTCATCGAGCATGTCGTCGACACTAGGAATAGAAAATCGATCCTTGATACTTGCGGCATTCAGAGCCCGATAGTCAGTACAGAACCTCTACGTACCATCCTTTTTCTTAGCTAACAATACTGGTGATGAAAATGGACTCGAGCTATGCTGAATTAACCCAGACTCTAACATCTCAGCTACTTGCTTTCGATCTCAGTTTTCTAAAAGTGAGCGTACCTATAGGGGTGGACGTGTACAGCATGCTGCTCATTGACTAGAGGTATGCGGTGGTCGAACTCCCGGTGGGGCGGTAGACCCTTGGGCTCACCCAGTACTCCTTTAAATTCCTCGAGAAGCTCGCGCACGTCTCTTTGCTGTTGCTTTATCTTGCCTTCGTGCGCCCTTTTGTTCTTGACTACTACTACAAAAATTTGGCCGCCACCTCGCCAGACTCTCTCGATACTCTTCAGTCCAACCTCCTAAGCAACCTTCTCTTCTCCAGCCTTAAGAGTGACTCGTTTACCTCCATATCTAAACTCCATGATTCCAATAGGTAGTCCGTGATCACCTTCCCTAATCCTTCTAGCCATTGCACTCCTAGAACAATGTCTGGTCCAACCAAGGGTAGGGCATAGAGACCGGCTTCCACAATAATGCCTTGGAACTTGATTGGTACCTTATGAAAAGATTTGGTGCATTGCAGTCTCTCACCGTTGGCTACTCGAACTTCAAAGGGCTCAATCTTCGTGGTTGGCAATTTTAGCTTATAAGACAAGTCGGCATTTATAAAGTTGTGTGATGACCCGTTGTCGACGAGTACTATCTCTTGACGGTCTTCGACCCAAGCTGGTAGCCTCATCGTCCTTAGCCCTCTGATCCCAGCCATTGCATGCATCGAGATTTCAGCTTCCTCGTTGAATGCTTCAATGTCGTCCACTGGCTCCGGTTCCTCCTTGACCTCAGTCTCTTCCTCATCGAAGTTGGCAACCTCTATAACAAAAGCCTGCTTGCATCGATGACCTGGCATGAATTTTTCTTCGCACTTGAAACACAGACCTTTCTCACGTCGGCGATTGATCTCTTCAGGTGTAAGTTGTTTGACTACTGGCCCCGGTGGTCGAGTGCTGATGGCCGGTCTAGCGCCCGCGGTCGCTTGGCTTGGGCCTGCGCGACATGTGTTGGTGAAGCGGGCGTCCGCCCGTCCCCTTCGCGTGGCAGCTAGGTGGTCCTCGCGTCGGCGGGCGACTTCCATAGCGGCGTACATGGTTTCTGGTCATTCCAGACGTACCTCAGCTCCAAGATCATACTTCAGACCGCCTATGAATGCTCCTACCAATGCAGTTTCGGGTCAGCCCCGTACTCGACATGCTAAACACTCAAATTCATTCAGATAATCACGTAAATTACATGTCTGCCTTATTCGAGTCAGCGCCCCATCATAGTTGTGGTAGTCGGATGTACCAAAGCATGTGAGTAACTCTCACTCAAAATCACCCCATGTGATGATTCACTGTCGGTTGCGGTAAACGCTTGTGAGCCATTGCCACCATACATTGGCCTCGCCATCCAGATAGTATGCTGCGTACCTTACTCGATCATGGCCATCAGTTTCGTTGAGCTTGAAGTATTGAACAACATGGT